CTTCAACTCCAGAATTCTCTAGCTGGGATGTCTGGACTTCAACTCCCAGAATTCCCCATCTAGGAAGTGGCCTGCAACTCCAGAATTTTCTAGCTGGAATGTCTGGACTTCAACTCCCAGAATTCCCCGACTAGGAAGTGGGCTTCAACTCCAGAATTCTCTAGCTGGAATGTCTGGAGTTCAACTCCCAGAATTCCCTGGCTAGGAAGTGGGCTTCAACTCCAGAATTCTCTAGCTGGGATGTCTGGAGTTCAACTCCCAGAATTCCCTGGCTAGGAAGTGGGCTTCAACTCCAGAATTCCCCATCTAGGAAGTGGCCTTCAACTTCAGAATTTTCTAGCTGGAATGTCTGGACTTCAACTCCCAGAATTCCCCGACTAGGAAGTGGGCTTCAACTCCAGAATTCTCTAACTGGAATGTCTGGACTTCAACTCCCAGAATTCCCTGGCTAGGAAGTGGACTTCAACTCCCAGTATTTTCTCTAGCTGGGATGTCTGGAGTTCAACGCCCAGAATTCCTCAGCTAGGAAGTGGCCAACTCCAGAATTCTCTAGTTGGGACGTCTGGACTTCAACTCCCAGAATTCTCTGGCTAGGAAATGGGCTTCAGTTCCCAGAATTCCCCAACCAGAATGTCTCATGGTTCAGCCCTTTGCTATACAGATCTGCTGAAAGAACAGGCCACCTGATGCCAAAACAGCTGGGCAACCAAACGCATCACGTCAGACTCACCGGAGGGGCGCTGTAGCTGGCGTGAGGGTTGTTCTGGATTTCCCACAACCCTTCATTGAAACCTTTCCGTTTGTTGGACTTCCCGTATTTGTCCTTGTACTTCTCATAAGGGAAGAGGTCCTTGGGGCCCAAAAACGCCCTGCGGGATACGGACAGAGAGCAAACAAGAAATGGAAGGGTTTGGAGAGAAAGGGACGGCAATCCCACCCGGCTTAATGCCACGGAGTCACCTGCAGAACCTCCCCAAGTTGGCACTTACGTCTCGTGGGTTCCGAAAAAGAATATGGGGTATTTGTTGGGGGGAGGCTTCACAGCCCCATCAACGATGTCATCAATCTGGAAAGAAGAGGGGAAGACAAAGTCAATAAAAATTGGAATGAAAGACCAGCCATATTCAAGCAGGAACCAGCCCAGCATCATGGCTTATGGTGTCACACAAAAATCACACAGGTGAAAGAGCTGAAAAGGGAAGTGGACGCTATGCAGGTAGTCCTTGCTTAACAACCATAATTGACACCTGAAACTCTGCTGCTAAGCAGTGTGACCTTCTCAGCTGGTTTCTCGCCACACTTGGAATATCCTATCCGGTTACGGTCGCCATCATATAAAAGAGATGTTGAGACTCTATGAAGAGTGAAAGGAAGAGCAACAAAGATGATTTGGAGTCTAAAACGTATAAAGAACAGTTGTTGGAATTAGGAATCTCTAGTTTAACGAAAAAAAGGACCAGGGGAGGCATGATAGTAGTCTTCTAATATTTGAGGGGCTGCCGCAAAGGGGGTCAACCTTGTTAGGAATATAAATCTAACGGTTGGGCTGGCAATATATAAATCATGTAACAATGTTGTACCTGTTTCTTTAAATCAAGGATGGAATTAAGATCAAGCAAAGTCTTAATACCACTTTATAAAGCCATGGTAAGGTCACACTTGGAATACGGCATACAATTTTGGATTCACTAAACAACCCTTTTACTAGTGTAACAACTGCAGTGATTCGCTTAACAACAGTCGCAAGAAAGGTCGTAAAACGGGGCAAGGTTCACTGAACAACTGTCTTCCTTAAGATAAGAAATTTTGCGCTCAATTGTGATCCTAAGTTGAGGGCTATCTGTATAGTTTTCTTAAATAAGATTTATTGGACATCCATCTTACCATTGGCTTACAATCATGAAAGAAAGAAAGAAAGAAAGAAAGAAAGAAAGAAAGGAAGGAAGGAAGGAAGGAAGGAAGGAAGGGAGGGAGGGAGGGAGGGATAATGAAATAGATAGATGACATAGAGAGATGGGTAAGATAGGATAGAGATAAATAACTGAGAGATGATAGACAGATAGATAGATAGATATAGATAGATGATAGATATAGATTTTTACAACCCCCGGTATGCCCAAATATGGGAGGAAGATCACTACTTCCATTCTCTGTATGCATACATACATACATACTTCCAACATATATACATACATACATACATACATACATACATACATTCCTGTTAAAACAAGATGCCCAGAATTGAGCAGAATCTGCCCTTCGAACAGGAGTCCCCAACCTGGGGGCTCCACTCACTACTGGTCCACAACCTATTCACAACCGGGCCACACGAGTGGGGCAACTGGTGTGCACGCAGACCCATTCACATGAGCGTTGTGGGTGTTCCCGATCCCGCTTGCGCATGCCCCTCCCCCACAAATCTCCTCTCCCCCGGGCTGCCAACCCCGGGGAAAAGTTGAGGAACCCTGCCTTAGAAATAAACCTTCTTCGGGATGAGTCACATCCAACAAAGGTTCCGATATCCAATTATTCAAATAGGATTATTCAATTCTCCAGGTTGGAATCGCTAATGCCGAAATGTGTGGGTTGTTTTTTTTTTTACAGGATGCAGAGATGAAGAAGAGGCGCGTCAGGGCAGGAATAGAAAGCGTTCCTGTTTCACTGTTTAGTTTATGCAAGGAAATTATCAAATGTAGGAACGGAGCAACCTTTCCCAATTCCCCAGGAAGTTCTTGGGAGGAAAAAGAGCCAGTGGGAGACCATAGGTAAAGGTAAAGCTTCCCCCGCACATATGTGCTAGTCGTTCCTGACTCTAGGGGGCGGCGCTCATCTCCGTTTCAAAGCCGAAGAGCNCCTAGACAGAATGGATGGTGTGTTATTTTTTAAAAACTGTATTTTTTTATTCTTAATTTTTAACTTTTTATCTTGTCTCTGTAAGCCGCCCAGAGTCCTACGGGATTGGGCGGCATACAAATTTATTAAATTTCAATTTCAATTTCATCATGGCACAGCCCCAGACTATTCCTTTCTTCGGTATATGCGGAGAATGGGGAAGAAAATACAAAATAGATATGCCATGGTTTAAGGTTCCCATTTGCCTCTTTAGAACCCCCAAGCCCCAGAATTTGAGAATTCTTTTCACATTTGGAAGGAGTCAAGGACTATCTTAAGCTTCTTTGCATAAACCCTTTTATCTCCCATATTTGCAAACCTGGGTGATTTGATCCCACCCACTTCAGTGACATTATGACATCACTAATTGTATACCCAGCAGCCGTGAGGCAGAAAAAGCCTGTTCACCTTCTGTTTTCAAGTCAGCAAAGCATCATTGCTAAATAGTCCATTCTGAGTACGGCATTAACAGTAACAACGGTTAATAATGTGTTTCTGGTGCCAATTTTATGAAAAATTGAAATGAAAAGCTTCTAGAGAGAAAAGCGATACGAACTCTGTGTTGGGGATGACAAATATAAATATTCCAATTTGTAGTGTAGTACAATCCACTCCAGTCACTATCTCTAAAATGAGGAAATGTCATCTTTCAGTATATTGCTGATTGGACATACCAATAGTAGAAAAGAAGGAAGCAAACAGTGAGTGGGCGGGCAGATGAAAGTCTGTGGCTAAAAGAGGAAAATAAAAAAAAGAGGAAAACAACCTAAGGAAAATATTGCAAATAAAATTAAAGAAGAAATTCAACGAGAATTGAATATTTCAAATAGAGGCATCAAGGATCAAAATATACAGATGTGGTATTTTTAAAAAATGGTGAATTCTTAAGCTTCGGATTTATTAATTTGGTTAGGAAATGCCACAAACTGTAAATGGAAATTAGTTGATACTTTTAAAACAATTCTATTAAAAGTTAATGTTGATTGTTTGATGCCCAGACCTTTTGCCCTAAAACACTCTAACAAAGCTTGCATAAGGATAACATATATTCCTAGTCTTTGTTTGGCTACCCAATCTCTTTGCAACATACTTCTTCAACGTACTTCTACTCTTTGCAACATACTTTTCCCCCCCCAAATTTGTTCTTATATTTCCATCATATAAGCCTTAAGATTAACCAAAGGGGAAAACTGAGCAATGGTATTTAGATTTAGATTTAGATTTTACTTTATTTGTATGCCNTTGGGCCAATCACCAGGGGATTGTGAGTTCTAGTTCCTTCTTAGGCCTAAAAACCAGCTGAATAACTTTGGCCCAAGCCAATCACCAGGAGATGTGAATTCTAGTCCCACCGTAGGCCTGAGAGCCAGCTGGATGACTTTGAGTCAGTCACCAGGAGACTGTGAGTTCTAGTCCTTCCTTTTGCCTGAAAGCCGACTGATGACTTTGGGCCAATCACTAGACATCTAAAGTCCAGTGACTTTTAACCACTTGGTCTTCGTAACCTTCACTGACTCGGTCAAAAATCTTGTCCTCCTTCACAATTTCCGTAGTCCACACAGTGTTGGTATTCAGACGGTTTAGACAGGTTCGTGCGAACCGATAGTGGTGACCTGAAGGTTGGCCCGGCCACCTGCCCCAGTCCTATGCTCTCCTATTTAGCCACGTTTTCTAAGCCAGGCACATCAGAGGTGGGTTGCTAACAGTTTGGCTCGGTTCGGACGAGTAGGTAATAACTCGGCTGGCCACGCCCCTGAACCGGTTCTATCTGCAGCGGCGGCATCTTCCTTTTTCCTTCTACGCATGCACAAAAGCAATTTTTTGCTACTGCGCATTCCACGTAGTGCACATCAAGCATGCACATGCACGAAGCGCGTCCCTGATTGAACTGGCAGTAACAGAAGCTGGAACCCACCCCTGTTGCACATCAGAAGAGGTTCCACAAATCTACCGTGCTGTTTAGAACCGGTTCCAGCTCCCTCACTCCGCCCGTCCGCACAACATCAAGATGAAGAGCGAGAGGAGGAATTCTGGGAGTTGAAGTCCACAAGTCTTAAAAGCTATCAAGTTTGAACACACCTGGGGTTTTTTTTTCTAAAGGGTTAGGGGTTCAAGGGTCTTGTAACTTGACAGCTTTAAGACTTGCA